GAGATGTATTTGTGTTGTTTTTTATTATTTTTGAGAGAGAGAGAGAGAGAGAGAGAGAGAGAGAGAGAGAGAGAGAGAGAGAGAAATGCTAATGCTCCCATGGAGGTCAGAGAACAACCTGTGAGAGTTGGATATCTCCTCCCATTATGTGGGTCCCTTGGAGTGAACTCGGGTCCTCAGGCTTGGTTGTAGGGGTCTTTACCACTTTTTTTTTCCCTGTTTAATTCTTTCTGAAGTAGACCTATATACAAATCAGAATCTCTCGAGAGAGAGAGAGAGAGAGAAATGCTAATGCTCCCATGGAGGTCAGAGAACAACCTGTGAGAGTTGGATATCTCCTCCCATTATGTGGGTCCCTTGGAGTGAACTCGGGTCCTCAGGCTTGGTTGTAGGGGTCTTTACCACTTTTTTTTTCCCTGTTTAATTCTTTCTGAAGTAGACCTATATACAAATCAGAATCTCTCTTTTTTTTTTTTTTGAGGCGGGATCCCACTATGCAGCCCTGGGCTGACCTGGAATTCACTGTAGAGACCAGGCTGACCCCTCAAACTCACAGAGATCTACCTGCCTCTGCCTCCTGAGTACTGGGATTTAGGGCATGCACCATCACAGTGGGAAAATAGGTGTATTTAACCAGTTTTAGCTGTAAGAATAAAGGCAACATCTCTAAAACATATCATCAAGAACTGCCATGAGCCCTAAGTCCGGTTAAGAACAGGAGTGCTGAGTACATGTGACCCTCAGTGGCTGTGCTGCCTGAGTGTATCCTCTGTTGGACTACCAGTTTCCATTATCTGTCAAGTAAGCACTAGCTGCTTTGATCATTTTGAATACATGAGGTAGCCCGTATTCTCTGTTAATTAAAGTAGTTCTGACACACCAGGGTAGTTAAGCTGGTTTCTAAAAAGATGCTGCTGCTTTTGTATTAAAGGGTATTTGTCTTTTACTGTTTTTTCGATCTGGCACTATGAACACTGACAATTACATATCAGTAAATAAAGACAAAAAAAACGTGTTTAGGTGGGGCATGGTGGCACACGCCTTTAATCCCAGAGGCAGGCCAGGCCGATCTCTGTGAGTTCAAGGCCAGCCTGGTCTAGATAGTGAGTTCCAGGACAGCTGGGGCTACAGGGAGACCCTGTCTCAAAAAGACCGAAAAAAAAAAAAAAAAACCTGTTTAATTTACACTGTGTAGTATAAAATCAGTGACACTTTAAAAGTCTGTCATGTAACTCAGTACTAAATTGTACATGAGGTCCTGGGTTCAACCACCATGGGCACCCAAAAAAACCTGGCCAGGTGTGGTGACACACACCTCTAATTCTAACATTTGGGAGACTGAGGCAGGGGGTGGGGGTCATGTTCTCCAGACTAGCCAAGGCTACCTACAAAGACCCTATATAAAAAAGCGGGGGAAGAAGCCCATTAAATTTCTTAGTATTTTTTTCTGAGGCTTCCTGCACAAGCTTTTTACCTTATTTCTCTCTGTAATTGACCCCTTAGGTTTCCATATGAGGAAAAACTGTAATTTTCATTCTTAGGAACTCTTCTCACTTCCTAGGGGATGGACCCCATCACGCGTCAAGTAGGACAGCACATTGAAATGGAGCCCGAGTGGGAAGCAGCCTTCACGCTGCAGATGAAGTTAACACACGTGATTTCAATGATGCAGGACTGGTGTGCTTTAGACGTGAGTTTCTTCTAACGGGTGGGTGGATGTGAGGAACATGGGGGAAAGGACAGAATCTCAAGTCAAATTGAAAAAGATTTGGAGAAAATGCTTTTATAGCTTAGCACACAAACAGCTTATTTTCCTCTACCCCTGTAATTCAATGAGGATTTGGGACTGGAGAGATGGCTCAGCAGTTAAGAGCACTGGCTGCTCTTGCAAAGGACCTGGGTTTGATTCCCAGCACCCACATGGTGGCTAACAACCATCCTTAACACCATTTCCAGGGGACCTGATGCCCACTTCTGACCTCTCCAGGCATTGCACAACACAAGTTCACCTACCTATATTCAGGCATTACACTCATACACATAAAATAAAAATAATAATAGTAAAAAATTTAAAATTCGAAAGCCTAATAAATTGAAAAATAAATCAAGGAGGAAATAATATATGCCCTCTTCTCTGGTGTAATTATGTTCATTTCCCCCATAATCCTTTTTAGACATTAAGCCTGTAAAAATAATAGTGTATAAGCTGGGCATGGTGGCACATGCCTTTAATCCCAGCACTTGGGAGGCAGAGGCAGGCAGATCTCTGTGAATTCAAGGCCGTCTGGTCTACATAGTGAGTTCCAGGACAGCTGGGGCTACAGAGATACCCTGTCTCAAAAAGACCAAAAAAAAAAGAATAGTGTATAAGTTTATCCAAAAATAAAGTCTTGCTCTTGGTACATTTGTCCTGTGACTTGAAATAATCTTGGCCTTCATGAAGAACCTGTAAAACTAAGAGATTAGAGGCTGCTTCCATGAGACTTAAACAGCATGTAAAAACCTACTGAACAGAAAATAAAGACTTTATAGTTCAGAGACCAACTGCATCATACTGTGATAAGAGGACCTGCAGTTAGTTGTTCCCGGAGCTGGAGGAAAGCTCTGCTGGGAGCGTGAAGATTGGGCCAAGAGAGATGGGCAGGCAGCCAGATGTGCAGGGCCTTGGAGGCCATTGGATTGTGTCTGATTAAAGTGCCTAACAGGGAAGTGATATGGTCCAATTTGTGTGTTTTTTTAAAAATGACCCTTTGTAGAGGATGGATGGATGGATGGGAAAGAGTTGAAGCAGGAAATTTAATAGAGGTGGTGGCCATGCCTTTGAGTTACTGGAGAGTGAGAGAAGTAGCTAGTAAAGAGGGACATTTAAAAGAGAAAAATGCCAGCTCGGTAATAGGCCAGACAGTATAAGTATAGAATGAGGTAAAGGAGATTATCAGATAACTTCTAGATTTTCACAGCTTTTGTGACAAGTGGTGTCCTCCACTGGGACAGGGGCACTGGAAGAGAGATGGAGTTTGGGAGGGAGGATTGAATTGAATTTGGTTTGGCCCATACTGTGTGAGGTACTTACCCATCATTGAATTCAAGGTGCTTATTTAATGTTGTAGAAACCCAATCTTTGAGTAACTTACATTAAAAACCCTCTTTTTTTAGGAAAAAGTATTAATTGAAGCTTACAAGAAATGCCTGGCTGTATTGACGCAGTGTCATGGTGGTTATACTGATGGTGAACAGCCAATCACACTAAGTCTTTGTGGACATTCAGTGGAGACTATCAGATACTGTGTTTCCCAAGACAGAGTTAGCATTCACCTCCCAGTTTCTCGCTTACTTGCAGGTAAAGCATTTCTCCCAAAAAGAACCCTAAAGTTCTCTTAAATGATTGTTTGTGGCTGGTGTTTATGAATGACCGTATGCTGGGCATTATGCTGAGGGCTTTACATGCATTAGTTTGTCTGGTCATTATGTGAACCCTTGTCGTCATTACACTCGCTTCACAAGAGAAATGCTGTTATGTATCACAAAGGATGTAGTTGGTGTCTTTGGCTTAGTAACTTCCAGCATGATATGAAGATGTGCTCTTTGTTTTGTTTTGTATTTCTCAAGAAGAGATCGTGGAGAATCCTTAACTGTGTGATAGAATTTCTCAGCGTGGCCTCTGGTACTTTAGTGTTGAAGAGGTTATCGATTATTGTTTGAGCTCCTTTAATAGACATTGACCTTATTCAGGTTATCTAGTCCTCAAGGGAATTTTGATAATTTGTGTCTTCCAAGGAATGTATCCATTTCATTTAAATTATCAAATGTATGGGTCTAGAGTTGTTGATATTTTAATATGAGCAGTTAAGTAGTGATGATCCCTTTCCCTCTGAAAGCATTTTATTTCATTGTTCTGAGCATCAAGTTCTCTGGCCGGTGGACCTTCACATTCCACTCAGGTATGTTCTTGGGTTGTAGTGTTTTGAGATTTCTTACACCAAGGCTTTTGGAGGCTTTGATCTTAAACATATAAATATTGAAATAGTACAAACCGGACATGGTGGCCCATGCATGCAGTCCCAGTACTCAAGAGTCTGAGAAGGAAAACTGCTAAGAGCTCCACACCAGTCTGGGCTACATAGTGAGTTCTAGACCAGCCTGTGCTACAGAGTGAGACCTTGTCCCCCTAAAAATGAGACAGTGAGTGTGAGAGAGAGAGAAATTTACCTAGCATGAAATTCTGATCATAAGAAAAAAAATCTCTCTCCTCCTATAACTGGTTTATCCGGGTTTTTTATTAAATATTTTCAACAACTGAAGATGATTGGTCCTCAGCATAGGCAGCTAAAAGCATGATGACCTGCCAGATATTAGACTGGAAGGTAAGAAAGTAAGCCCCTTCCCCAACTCAGCCATGTACTGCTTCATGTACTTCTTCAGAATCTGGCTGCCTGGGTGGAAGCTGAGACTATTTGTTATCCACAGTGACAAAGTTACCACTCCAGAAATGTTCATTCTGCCTAGGTCTTAACCTCCCTGAAGTCTGTGTAGTGAATATTCTAAAGGAGTATTCATCTGACCATGTTAGATGAGGCCTGGCCTGAATGCTTGTAATCAAAATAGAGAACTAAATACACACAGAGAACAGTTCACAGCTGGACGTTGTGGCCCATGCTTGTAATCCCAGCACTTAGGAGGCAGAGGCAGGAGAATGACCACAAGTTTGAGACCAGGCAGGGGCTTCCTTAGCAAGACCCTGTCTCTCAACAAAACAGTCCATGCGTGAGGTGGAGTGTGTGCTGGTAAAACTTGCTTCAGCAGGAACTGTGGAGAACAGGTCAGCAGTGGAGGATGCCTCGTTCAGGCTTGAGTGGTGGCCAGTAGATACTGCTACACTGGGATGATCCAAACAGGACCCATGACAGTGAGCTGCAGTTGCACTATAAAGGAGTCCCTTGGGGCTAAATTGGCTGTGATCCTAAACCAAGGAACTTAGTTCTAAGGTCAAGGTTAGTAGTGCAGACCATGAATCCAGAGCCGCTTTCTCTGTTAAGTTGCCAAGAGGTTCTCTACTATTTCAAACAGCTATCAGTGGGAAAAACTTCATGACTCGGTGAAATGACTCAACATTGGCATAATGTATGGAAATCAGGTTTGGTGGTTATAGAGCTGCGTTTGCCTTGTTTGTGCAGACAGCATTCACTTCTAAAATGTCATTGGTATATGTTGGGGTATGTGATTAGGACTAGTTCTAACTGCCCCTGATGTAGCATTTCATTGAAAAGTTTCATTTATGGATGTAGTTCATTTTGTATCTTAATTTATAACCTAATACATTCCCAAAGATTAAAAAAGTTGAAGTTGAGTATTTGGCCATGTGAATGTTATTTTGACTTGGAGAAATGCTTTTTGTGTCTGTGCTCCCATGCAGGCTTGCACGTGCTGTTAAGCAGAAGCGAAGTGGCTTACAGATCTCCAGAACACCTACCTCTAGTAAGCGGCCTCAGCATGCAGCACGAGTAGCAGTTCGTTATGCGCCTTGTATTTGAAATCAAAGGGTTCTCCAGAGAAACACCTCTGCGTGTGTGTGCATGTGTGCGTGTGTGTTTAAGGAGTTTTCTTAAGCTCTTGCCTCATACGGTTACGGGGCTAGCAAATCTAGTCTGTAAAGAGAGCGTCCTGACTCAGTGGAAAGATCTTACTTAGGGTGCTAAGGAGATGGCACAGTGAGTAAAATGCTCATGTGTGAGAAGTTGAGTTCATATCACCACAGCCCAGCTGTATGCTGTAGCACATGCATCTGTAATTCCAGCTCTCCTATAGAGAGATGAGAGGCAAAGACGGGGAACTCACTGGAAGCTCTCGGGCTAGCTAGCTGGGGTATAGCAGTATGACACTGTCTCAAACAAGGTAGAGAATGAGAACTGATACCCAGGGTTGACCTCCACACATGCACTGTGGAATACTTGTGTCTCTACACACAGAGAGGCCTCTCTTAAGACTTTACACCCAAGGTTGACCTCCCCACATGTGCCATGGAACACTTGTGCCCCTACACACAGAGACCTCTCTTAAGTCTTCCGTCTGTATTGATGGAGGCCCACCCACTGTCTGGAGGGTAATCTACAGTATTACATTGAATTTTTTCTCAGCCATATCCAGAGGGGTTTGAGCATAACCTTAATAAATTGACACAAAATTAGCAGTCAACCCAAATGCATCTTAAAATAAATTTAACCTATTATTTTGTAAAAGCTCCCCCTCTGTCAATCACCTTGTGTTATGGAGTTGGGTTTTTTTTAATGAATTTTTTTTTTTAATATGCAGAGTGAACTTAGCCCTCCCATGTTGATAGAACATCCTCTTAGATGTCTTGTTTTGTGTGCCCAAGTACATGCTGGGATGTGGAGAAGAAATGGGTTCTCCCTAGTAAACCAGGTATGTGGTGTTTTAATTCTATGGAGTTTTGATTCCATTCATTAGTTTTTATAAGGGTTGTAGTTTTCAGAGGATTTAACCAGTGAAAGTTTAGTATCTGTGTTAAAATTGTTAGAAAAATTAAATATAGCTGGTGTGGTACACCACTGTACCACAGTATCTGTGTTAAAATTGTTAGAAAAACTAAATGTAGTGCACACCTTTAATCCCAGCACTCAGGAGTCAGAAGCAGGTGGATCTCTGTCATATCAAGGCCAGCCTAGTCTACATAGTGAGTTCCAGGCCAGCTGTGGCAACAGGGAGACTCTGTCTCAAAAAGACAAAAAAAAATTTTTTTTTTTGATATAATGGTGAGACAAGAAGGCTTCTTAGATCTTTCATTTACAGTTTATCAAGGAATTGCATGAAGTTTGAAGCAGAAATAAGTAGCCGTGGTCTTGACTTTGACTTCAAATAATTAGACTAAGTTGGGTGGTTTAAAAAATTATTTCACTTATCTAAATTAAACTGGTTTGAAAAACAGGTGTGTGGGTCTAGAGAGATGGCTCAGCAGTTAAGAACACTGACTGTTCTTGCAGAAGACCCAGGTTCAAATCCCAGCACCCACATGGTAGCTAACAACT